ATCAAATAGATGCAATAAAAAATGATAAAGGGGATAACATGACTGATCCCACAGAAATACAAACTACCATCAGAGTATACTACAAACAAACAATTCTATTCACATAAACCAGTAAACCAGGAAGAAATGGATAAATTCGTAGACACTTGTATTCTAAACCAGGAGAAATTGAAACCCTGAATAGACCAATAACAAGGGCTGAAGTTGAGGCAGCAATTAATAGCCTACCAACCAAAAAAAGTCCAGGTCCAGATGGGTTCAGAGCTCAATTCTACCAGACATACAAAGAGGAGCTGGTTCCATTCCTTCTGAAACTGTATCAAACAATACAAAAGGAGGGAATCCTCACTAACTCATTTTATGAGACCAACCTCATCCTGATGCCAAAACCAGGCAGAGACTCAACTAAAAATGAAAACTTCAGGCCAATATCCATGATGAACATCAATGCAAAAATCTTCAATAAAATACTGGCAAAGATTGCAACAGCACATCAAGAAGCTTATCCATTACGATCAAGTAGACTTCATCCTGGGGATGCAAGGCTGGTTCAACATATGCAAATCTGTAAATGTAATCCATCACATAAACGGAACTAAAGACAAAAACCACATGATTATCTCAATAGATGCAGAGAAGGCCTTCGATAAAATTCAACAGCCCTTCATGCTAAAAACTCTCAATAAACTAGGTATTGACAGAATGTATCATAAAATGATAAAAGCTATATATGACAAACCTACAGCCAATATCATACTGAACAGGCAAAAGCTGGAAGAATTCCCTTTGAAATCAGGCACTAGACAAGGATGCCCTCCCTCACCACTCCTATTCAATGTAGTATTAGAAGTTCTAGCCAGAGCAATCAGGCAAGAAAAAGAAATAGAGGGTATTCAATTAGGAAAGGAGGAAGACAAACTGTCTCTATTTGCAAATGACATGATTGTTTATCTAGAAGACCCCATCGTCTCAGCCCCAAATCATCTCAAACTGATAAGCAACTTCAGCAAAGTCTCAGAATATAAAATCAATGTGCAGAAATCACAAGCATTCGTATACACCAATAACGATTTAAAGAGAGCCAAATCAAGAGGGAACTCCCATTCACAATTGCTACAAAGAGAATAAAATACCTAGGAACACAACTAAGAAAGGATGTAAAGGACCTCTTCCAGGAGAACTACAAACCACTGCTCAAGGAAATAAGAGAGGACACAAACAAATGGAAAAACATTCCATGCTCATGGTTAGGAAGAATTAATATTTTGAAAATGGCTATACTGCCCAAAGTAATCTATAGATTTAATGCTATCCCCATCAAGCTACCAATGACCTTCTTCACAGAACTGGAAAAGACACCTTAAACTTCATATGGAATCACAAGAGAGCCCGCATAGCCAAGTCAATTCTAAGCATAAAGAACAGAGCCAGAGGCATCACACTGCTGGACTTCAAACTATACTACAAGTCTACAGTAATCAAAACAGCATGATACTCGTACTAAAACAGAGACCCCAGAAGAAACGCCACACATCTGCAAACATCTGATCTTTGACAAACCTGAAAAAAACAAGCAATGGGGAAAGGACTCCATGTTTAATAAATGGTGTTGGGAAAACTGGCTAGCATTGTGCAGAAAGCAGAAACTGGACCCCTACCTGTCACCTTACACTAAAATTAACTCCAGATGGATTAAATATTTAAACATAAAACCTAACACCACAAAAACACTAGAAGGAAACATAGGCAAAACCATTCAGGACATAGGCATAGGCAAGGGCTTCATGACTAAAACACCAAAAGCAATGGCAATAAAAGCCAAGATAGATAAATGGAATCTAATTAAACTCCAGAGCTTCTGTACAGAAAAAGAAACCATCATTAGAGCAAATCGGTAACCAACAGAATGGGAAAATATTTTTGCAATCTACCCATCTGACAAAGGGCTAATATCCAGAATCTACAAAGAACTAAAACAGATTTGCAAGAAACAAACAAGCCCATTCAAAAGTGGGCAAACAATATGAACAGACACTTTTCAAAAGAAGACATACATATATGAGGCCAACAAACATATGAAAAAATGCTCATCATCACTGGTCATTAGAGAAATGCAAATCAAAACCACACTGAGATATCATCTCACTCCAGTTAGAATGGTGATCATTAAAAAGTCTGGAGACAACAGATGCTGGAGAGCATGTGGAGAAATAGCAACACTCTTACACAGTTGGTGGGAGTGTAAATTAGTTCAACCATTGTGGAAGACAGCGTGGCGATTTCTCAAGGATCTAGAAATAGAAATTCCATTTGACCCAGCAATCCCATTACTGGGTATATACTCAAAGAACTATAAATTGTTCTACTGTAAAGACACATGCACACATATGTTCATTGCAGCCCTGAATACAATAGCAAAGACCCGGAACCAACCCAAATGCCCATCAATGATAGACTGGACAAGGAAAATGTGGTACATATACACCATGGAATACTATGTAGTCATAAAAAACGATAAGTTTGTGTCCTTTGTAGGGACTTAGATGAATCTGGAGACCATCATTCTCAGCAAACTGACACAAGAACAGAAAGCCAAACACTGTATGTTCTTACTCATAGGTGGGTGTTGAACAACGAGAACACATGGACTCAGGGAGAGGAGCATCACACAATGGGGACAGTGGAGGGGGGTAGGAGAGAGACAGCAGTGGGTGGGGAGGGATAATGTGGGGGAGAAATGCCAGATATAGTATGCACCCAAAGTAAAATACATAAATAAATAAATAAAAATATATGCTTTTATGAATAAATTGATGCAGTTTGAACTGACTAAATGTTTATGGACAGTTCTTGATCATTCCCATGTTAATACCACGTAAATGGACATAGAAATTTAACATAATCATTGAACATTAAGTATTGTAGTGAAAGAGGCGTAACTAGATTAAACTGGAGATGAAAACATTAAATAAAAAAAAAATAAAGTCTGTACTCTCCAAAGCAGTCTACAGATACAATCTCTAACAAAATCCCAACAGCATTTTTCACAAAGATAAAGTCCTAAAATTCACATAGAACCACAAAAGACCCCAAATAGATAAAGCAATTTTGAGAAAGAAGAACAGAATTGGAGGCAAACATCCCCTGATTCAAATTATATTACCAAGCTATAGTTATCAAAACAGTATGGCACTGGCATAAACCCATGGGACAGAATAGAGCACTCAGAAATAAATGCATGCTTTTATAGTCAACTAGTTTTTGAGAGGGTGACAAGACTACACAATGGAGAAAAGATTATCTCTTCAATAAAGAGTGATGGAAAAATGTTCCCATGCAAAAGAATGAAGTTAGACCTGTTACATAACCATATGCAAAAATTAACTTGAAAAGGATGTAATCTATGAAATTAAATTCCTAGAAGAAAACATAGGGGAAAAGGTCCATGATATTAGTCTTCGCAATGGTATTTTGGTTATGGCAACAAAAGTAAAAATAAATTTGGGACTTCATCAAATAAAAAAGCAACCTAGAGAATGGGAGAAAATATTTTTAATTCATTTATCTGATGAGTTAAGATCCAAAATATAAAAGAAACCCACATGCTCAACTGCCAAAAAGTAATACCCCACTTAAAAAGTAGGGAAAAGAACTGAATTGATATTTTTCCAAGGAAGACACACAAATGACCAACAGGCATATGAAAAGGTAAAGGAATGCCAGGGCCTCCTACCTTCCTGTGGCTTCTTGTAACTGACTTTAAGTAGTTGCTGGCCACTTGCCAGAATGGCATGGAGAGATCAACACCATGTATGATGTGAATTGTTAGTGCTTTTAGTCTTTGCTATTAACAGCATCAAACATAAGAACCAGTTGCAATACCATAGTAACCTGCAATGAAAGATGATGACCATAATAATAGCTGACATTTTCGGAAACGACTGTGACTGGCTGAAAGTCAGCAAGGACTTTCACACATGGATTAACTTTACCCTCTTACTATCCTGGGATGAGGATCTACTTTTCAAATGAAGAAACTGACACTAAGAGAAGTCTGAGAACTAGTCTAATCTAGACAATGGCACAGATTCAAACCCTGGCAGGCCCACCACAAAGCCTGAGATCTCAGCAGCTAAATTTTATAATTGGGCAGTCCACTGCAAAAGTGAACTATTTTTTATTTGTATAAATTTAAGGGTTCATAGTGGTGAAGTCAGGGCTTTTCATGTAGCCATCACCCAAATAGTGTACCTTGTATCCCTTAAGCAACTTCTTGTCCTTCCCACCCTTCCAAGTCTCCAATGTCTATTGTTCCACGACTCTACGTCTCTGTGTATGCATTATTCAGCTCCCATTTATAGGTGAGAACATGCAGTATTTGACTTTCTGTTTCTAGGTTATTTCACTTAAGAATCACCTCCAGTTCCATCCATGTTGCTGTAAAAGACATGATTTCATTATCTTCTGTGGCTAAGGAGTATTTGATAGCGTGTCTATATCGCATTTTCTTTATCCAGTCCTCCACTGATGGACACATGTTGATTCTATGACTTTGCTATTTATTGTTACTAGTGCTGTGATAAACATATGAGTGCAGGTGTCTTTTTCATATAACAGTGGCTTTTCCTTTGGGTAGATAACCAGTGGTGGGATTGCTGGATTGAATGGTTGTTTGATTTTTAGTTCTTTGAGAAATCTCCATGCTGTTTTCCATAGAGGTTGTACTAATTAATCTTCACACCCTTATACACACAACAGTGTATAAGGGTTCCCTTTTCTCTGCATCGTCACCAACATCTGTTGCTTTTAAATATTTTAATAAATGAAATATTCTATATTGTAGAGTATATGCCTGATTGGGTTCCTTAAATTTACTAACAGTAAATTTATTCTTAATACCAATCTTTGAAGTCAGTGTACTAATTTGTACTGAGGTTTATTTTTTCCATCTTTGGAGGAAGAAACTCTGTCACAAATATTATCTGGCCTTTGTTTTTCAGCTTCCATCGTGATTCAGAAATGGTGGTGTCACATGAATCCCTGTTTGGAAGGAGAGGATTGTAAAGTGCTGCCAGATTACTCAGGTTGGTCCTGTAGCAGTGGCAATAAAGTCAAAACTACGAAGGCAAGTATAGACAAAATTCAACTACCATTTACAACTTGTCAACTATGGGGCTTCCTCCCCTTGATTTTATTCTGCCATCAAGAGAACATCATTATGTGCTGAAAAATCTGCTTGGGTCTTTTTGAAAAGCCCATTTCCCAGCATCATCCTGTGTGTCAGATTTTATAGAGCAGTGATTTGGTGGGAGAATTCATTATTTTAGGCAGTGCCACTAAATTCATTTCAACTTCTTCACAAGCCCGATTTAAAGTACAAGCTTCAGAGTTGACAGGGCAATGTATCAAAACACCATGGCAAGAATCCATATCCAGATGATTTAGTGAAGTAGAAATACCCACTGCTTTAAAGGAGATTTGATGGTTGGAAATTCTTATTCAAGACTTAGAAGCCAACACTTTTCACCCCAAATAGTATTATTTTTAATTCTCACCATCTCTGAAGAATGCCATTGTCTACCCAGCTCTCCAGCCAGAAACCTACCTTCTTCCCTTATCTTCCCATGTTCAGTTGGTTACTTTGTCCTTATGTTTTTACTACCCAACTTTTCCATGATTCTTCAACACTGTGCTTATTCCTCTTGTCCCATCTGCCCTTTCATATGGAGATGCATCTGGACTGCTAGGTTGCTGCCTTCTAGGCTGGTCTCCATACAGTGACTACAGTAATTTTGTAAAATGCACATCCTCTAAGCTAGTCTACCTCGAAATATTCCACTGGCTCCCTCTGGTGCCTGGTCCACTAGCCTCTGCCTGGTGCTTAATGAGTAACATGGCAAACCACTTCCCCTTCCTTCTGGCTGCTCTAAACATCCTGGACTTTTGTCAGTCCTTCTTATCTCCTGGTCCTTTTGCACTGGCTGCTCCTTCTCTCTTCATAGAATATGTTTCCCTCCTTTCTTTTCTAGTTAATCATAATCTTTTCGGGTACTCCTTTACTGATTGAAATCGTGCTCCCTCTGTCTCTGAGCATTTACTCTGGTTACATTTTACATAGATTGCTGTGCTTATTTTGCTTAATACCTAGAGCTTTCATCTAGTGGGAGAGCTTTCATGTTGGGCCCTGGCTTTTTTTTTTTTTTTTTTTTTTCTTTGTGTTTTTTTTTTTTTTTTTTTTTTTTTTTTTTTTTTTTGCTTTCCCTGCAAGAAAGGAAAGTCCCTTTCTACCAGCTAGTCCCAGAGCCAGCTGAATGCCTTGGGAACTATTTCTTGAATGAAAACCAACATGACCAAGGTCATTCTAAGATCATTAGACATACTGGAGTGGAGTGACTCTTTCTGGTTGCCACTGAGCTTTGACCCCTTAGGAAGTACATACAGTGAATGGCTTCTTGCCTTTCTTATGTATCCCCTTTATGAATACTTTGAGAACTCTTAAGTGTTTAGTAATTCATCCTCAGCCATGGACATCAAAAGCAGGCCAGTTTTCCTTCTAAGTGTGAACATGAAATATTACATTAAATATGACTTTTTAAAATATATTAAAATAGAAAGATATTAAATCTAAAACAAAATATTAGAATGGATGATAGTACAATATATTTTAAGTTAAATGGAAACTTTAGCTGATATTATACCCCAGATTATCAATGGAATAGTTGTCAGTTGATTCTCTGTGTAAAACCAGAATGTCAAAATCAAGACCATTTTCAACATTAATTGTGATTATCAATTAACTTATCCTTGTTAGTGATACTGGGATGATGATGTGATATCTTCTTTTATATCCAGGGCAGCAATGTCCATGGAGTCATTTATTGGTGGTGCAAGGAGGTCAACCCTCCCATCGTTCTAAGCCATTCTAAATAAACTTCCATAAACCCAGGGTGCTTGCTCAGCAAACCCTGCCTTAAGATAATTTCCCTGTCTTTCCCTTTATTTAAAGCAAAAAAACATAGTATTGCAGTCTTTATAAATTCAGCTATTTTTCCCTAATTCCTTCCTAAGTAAAAATCCTGGAGTAACCCGTGAATTAGGGTATTACATCCGTCAGGGATAAAAATTTCCTTTCATCATATTTCTTGTAGGCTAAGGAATAACATTTTGGAAGATTATGTTTGTATTGATTTTTATATATAAATATAAAACAAGATCATAAGCAGAAGCCAACTGTAGTTCTCTTGGTGGAATGGCTCTCTATTTATGTGTAGTTAGAGAAGGCATTTGCAGGAAGCAAACCTTTAGGGGCACTTTGGCTCTGTGCTGGGAATGTAAGTTTGCTCTAGCTAAATCCTCAAAGGTAGTGACATTTCATTTAGCACTTTGAAAAGTTGTAGAAAGATAATACAGTTCCCCAAGGCATCATACTACTTGGGTTGCTTTTTTAGTGATATGTCACTTGAGAATAATCTTGAAGTCATAAAACTTTGTTTCCTTTATTAATCCGGTCAGTGTGACTTAAACTGCATAAAACATTTTATGTCTTTTATCGATCTTATGCACATAGAGTAAATTCATTTGTGGATCTGTGACTAGATTCCAGTAGTACCTAATATCCCTTTCCTAAAATTGTTACTGACCTTACACCACAGGTGAGACAGAGGTCCTATAAATGCAGAGCAATTGCCTTCCTAGAGGATGTGTTAACTAAACTATATAACAAAATAGTTTCCGTATTCTTTAAACAGTTCATGCATAGCAGCATCAAAACATAGAAAGGCTAAAGTAAGATGGTCTGCAATAAGCCAGCTATGTCAGAATTTTCCATTTAAATGCAAAAATGAAAATAGTTGACAGTGAATTTGAGTATTAATAGCTTTAGATGAAGACATGAAAATAGGGGAGAGGATAATTCCCTAACTAGTCATCTTTTCCAGGTATAAAATAGTGGCATTGAGTTTAGAGAGGATGCGGCTACTGCTTCTTGTGGGAGAATATAACTCTGTCTGTGGACCTGCCTTAATTTTTTTTTCTTCATTGAATCTGGGTTTTGCTGCATTCTGTGTGCTAAAGAGTTCCTTACTGTTTGGGGTTGCCATTGTTAAGTATTCTAACAAGTATATGATGTCTTCTTAGCATCAAAGCCAAGCATTGGCCAGATTTTATTTGTGAGTAGAAGCAAATCACTTTGAATCTTGAGATATTTTAGATTTTTTAATGTTTTTATTTTTGAATAGTCTACTAAGGGTGAAAAGCTATGTCTTTAAAGTAGTTCTCAACCAGAGGCAGTTTTTTTGCCTCTGAGTAGTGTCTCGGATATTTCTGGCCATCACACTTTGCAAGGATGCTACTGACATCTTGTGGGTAGAAGCCAGGGATGCTGCTAAACATCCTACAAAGCACAGATAGCCTCTACAACAATTATTTGGCCCCAAATGTCAATGTATGGAGGTTGAAAAACTGCTTTAGAGAACAGTATATTTTTTTCAATAGCTGTTTGCAAACTTCCTACTTGAAAGTTTCTATTGTCTAGATATTTCCAGTATTTCATATTGGAAAATGTCCACAGAATTGAAGCAACAGTCTTGGCTTCAGCACCTTCCAAGTATTTTCCTCAAATGGTTCTCTAATCTGCCTGTCTCTTGGGCCATCACTACAGACCATTGTCAGTATCATAATAACATAATGATATCATGAAAACGTGTAAAAAAAAAAAAACCACAGTTTTGAACTCTACCTCTAGGATATTCTGGTATAGTAAGTCTGGGATAGGGCTTAGAAAACTCTGCTTTTTAAAAATAGTTGTTCTTAGGGTGATTGTGATGAACAGGCAGTATGAGGGAACCATTAGTCCAACTGAGCTCTCTATCTGTTCTCACCTTTAATTGACTTATGCCCTGCTTTCTCTGCAACAAGGAGAAACTCTCTGCCCAGGTTCCCTCCCTGTTGAGAGACCATCAATGGATCCCCATTGGAAACTTATGCAAAATACAGATTATAGGCATCTTACATGGGCCTTCACTGCCAATCATTGTATAGGCCACATACTTCCCCATACCGTTGGTTCCTCCTTCTTCCACTTCCCCTTCTGAAATTCCACTTGTCTTTTAATGTCCAGCTCAGATGACTCCTTTACCCTGAAGTTTTGTCCTCCCTGATCTCTGTAGTCAGACTTGAAGTGCTCAAGGTACCCTGATGAAAGGGAGCACAGCTAATATTGGCATCTTAGTACCCCTGTATCCATTACAATTCAGAAGCAGCAATGAATCTTCCACATGTAATCAGTACAATAAAAATTTTAAAGGAAAATAAAACAGAGAGAGTTTTATCATCCAACTTCAGGTAAAGTTGTCCATAATGAGTTGGGCATGGGGAATGAGTTGTCTCAAAGAAGATGCTTTTGACAATTACATCCTGCATATAGATTGAGAGATATCAAAAGAGCTAACATTACAATAGCCACCATTCCCTGAGTATGAACCATGTGTTAACCACTGGGTTGTGTCATTCAAGTCACGTACTTTATTCACTCTTTGCTACAACTGAAGGGGCCAGGTACTATTATCTGTATTTTGGAGATGAAGAAACTAAGGCAAAGAGAGACAATCTACCCCAACACAGAACATGGCTAGCTCCATCATTCAGTTGCTCAAGCCGCAAAGATCTTGGAATTGTCCTTAACTCCTCTTTTTCTTACATCTTTATCTTATTTGTCACAACCCTTTAAGTTGACAGTCCTGTCATGCATTCCTCATCTCTTCCTTGATCCTCAGTCAGAGAAAGGCCAAAGTCTTTGTATTTACTTCTTCCTCTCTTCCCAGTGAGTCAGGCCTCCCTCACTTCCTTCAACCTTCCCTGACATAATGTATAGAAGAGCAGTCCAATACCCTCCCTGCCCCAGCCAGCCTTTCCCCTTTATACTACCTTACTTTTCTCCATAGCCCATATTGTTAATATGTACCTGTTTGTCCAACTTCTTCCTCTAGAATAGGGATGAGAAAACTGTGGCTTAAAGGCCAAATCCAGCCCTGGGCCTGGTTTTGTATGGCTCATGAGTTAAGACTGGGTTTTACATGTTTAAGTGGATGGAAAAAATCAAAAGGAGACTTTTTCAGGATACATACAGATATGAAATTCAAATGTCACCATCTATATATTAAGTCTGGAACAAAGCAATGACATTCATTTATTTATTGTCTATGGCTGCTTTTGTGAATGAAATAAAGGCAGAGTGCCTTTACTTCATATCGAGTATTAATATGACTGCTACAGTGACTATATGGCCTGTAAAACTGAAAACGTTTACCATATTTAGTCCTTTCTAGTAAAAGTTTTCCAGTTTCTGTGCTAGAAGGTAAACTCCATGAGGGCAGGGATTTTGTTTCATTTGCTGTAGTTATCTAGCAGAAACAAAAGGGCAGAAATACTGTTGAATACATAAAGGCCATATGTCAGATAATAGCAAGGCTAAGGTTTGCATAAATAGCTGATTGAATATAAAGCACAGGTAGGGTAACTATATTATCAAATAATTTGCTTTGAAAAAATGTTTTTGTGATACAGGCATGTTAAAAAGTCTTATGCTTTTTTCCCTCACCTGAGCTGGTATATTGACTAACATGTAAAATTTCTTACACGACGAATCAACTATAGAAATACTGTTCTATTTTCTTAGATCATAAGTAATGAGCCTGAATGTTTAAAAAGGAAAAATGCAGCCACTACCATTTTTAATAATACAGTAGTTTTATAAAATAATGTATTTTCAAAAGTGAAAGTTAACGGCATTAAAAAAAATAACAAAGATAACATTTTTATCTTGACATGACTGACTTTAATCAGCCATTTATTTGAAAAATTTTTAGTGCCATTAACAAAGCATGCTCAGCATGCATGAATTGATGGGCGATGAGTGTACTTAATCAAATGGGATTTTTATAACCTCACAAATACAAAGCCAGACTGCATAATCCCTGTTATGGAAGCCTTTGTGTATGTATTCTTTACATTTCTTGTTTGTAGGCTGCAAAGCAGAATTTGAACAGTTGATTTGGTGAGGTTGGTTACACACAAATGTACAAATTGATAAACTATTCAGTCAGGACCTTATTGTTCCCGGGGGCAGGAATGGTTATTTTGGTGGGTATGGAGTGTTCAATGTTCCCTTATTTGATTTGTTTTAGGTAACACGGTAGCAAAGAGAGAGGTGTGCTTCATTCCTGGAGGGGCAGCAGGATGCAGATCTCATTTGCTGAAATTCCCATCCTGGCCACTTTGCAGAAAATTGTCTTGGATTTCAGCAACTTCATATTTGTATATGTGTGCTGTGAGAAGTGGCATTCACTTAACTGGCCCAGCCCTCTCTGCTTTGTGATTTTATTTCATTGAATATAACTGCAAGCCACCATTCGTTTGACATCCTATCTGGATTCCCAACGAACATACCTCCAAAATCCTAGAAGAGCAAATCAGAGTTTTCAAAATACATCACGACTACGAACACCTTCGGTCTTTACTTTCATTTATACTTTCTTTCTACCTTTACAAAAGAACTTGGATGTATGTTTCAAAAGATCCTGTTCTGTTCCTCTTTTGACTTTTCCTTTTGCTTTTGTATTTAGTGGTTTTAAAGGGGTCTAAATAAAAGATTTTTAGCAAATATATTTGCAGATGTAGATTAACTGGCGAAGAAAACTACTGGTAGAGATCAAGTGATTAACTGGTAAAAAGAACATTTATTTTATAAACCCTTGACAATAGAAGGACAAGTTGGAATGTTGGGTGTGCATTGTATTTTTTACTTTTGATAATTTTTTGCATTTTGCTTTCCATTGTCAGGTTAGCAGAGATAAAATGAGAGTGTTTTAACTTCAATGCAACATTTTACTGAGTGCTAAGGAAGCATATCAATTCCAATATTTTATAACCAAAGCTCTATCAGAACATATTTATAAAATGTGTTGAAGTTTTTATGGCTTTTGTGTAGTCATGAAGATAAATCATTTAAAATATAAAACAATCTAAATTTAGATCAAGGGTGATTTCTTAGATCAAATTTATGCCAATTCTATGAAAATATTTTGTTACCTCCCAAAGAGGAGTCTTTCAGTGCTGAATTTTTAGACAGTAAATGAGTTGTTCTTAACTTAGCTGTTTCCCTACTTGTTAGCCATCTTATTTCTTTGAAACCTGAGTCTTGAATGGCTTAATGATTTTTCAGCAGACATGTCTCCACATATTCACAGATGCTGTCATGCAGAAACGTATGAAACAGATGAAGAACGACTAACCCAGATTTTAAATGTATAATATTATTAAAATACTAGAAAAGTATGGGGTGAATTTTGTATATTAAGAAATGCCAAAAACATAGTTTCTGCACCAAGTTAGTTAATTATCCCTGTCCTTTCACATTTTGGGGTGAAAGTAAATCAATACTTCAATGTCGTTTATAGCATAACAGTTACCTGATTTTATTCTTGCAGAAAGAATGATTTGTTTGCTAAATTTTTGCCTAGATGCTTACTAAATTTGTTATGATCATATGAATAAGTAAAAAAATTCATCCTGCTTATGGCATACATGTTTTTGTGGTTATATATGCCTTAAGACTGTTAACATTCTACCTAGGCTTGCACATTTTAAATGTGAAAAACTCCTTTTAAAAATAACTTTAAAAATAACATTTAACTTTGGGGATGTGAACTATATAGTAAAGTTGCCATATGTATTTGAGTGGCTTCATTTCTTCTCCCAAGGTTATTTACCACCAACCTTAGGCACACTCATTTAGTATTGAGTTAAAATATATCTAAGGCGATTTTATGGTACATGGAACAGTAACTTAATTTTTTAGCCCATGTGTCTGATCTTGTACCCCAAATAAGATCAAGTAACAATGATACTACTTCACCTTAAGGTACATCCCTGGCGAGTAAACCACTTCCAGGGAATCAGTGGTCCATTGGGGAAAATGGCAGCCTCTTTAAGCCTTTCTCCACAGCCTAAAGCTTGAGGCAGCTCTGGAAAGGGTGAGCTGGCTGTTTCCTCACTGCTAGCTCTGGACATAAAATCACTTTCCTTTTACTTCATCTTGTTATTGGTTTTACAAGTGGTGAGCAGATAAGCCTGTACTTGATTATAAGAGCAGATACAATCTAGCATATGTTATGTGGATTTCCAAGGTTGCTTAAGTATACAGATGTGGCAACATTGAGCCTATGTTCTCTCACATCGACCCTGTTGGATGCAGAGGAGAAACTGTCCCTTTTATAGGGCTATATATACTCCCTCATCTACCACCATCACTACGTGGCCAGCTTCTTTTATTTGAATTTTTGCAAGAACCTGTTGGTATGTATACAAGATTGAGCATTAACTCTTGAAAGTGGCAATGGAAACACCATACCAAAAATGCCTATTTCACAGATAAATTGGAAAATGCTTCTGTACAAAATTCTTTGTGCACTATTAGGGACCCACCGACCAAGGATAAATCCAACGCTAGTCTGATGACGAACTTCACCATTTAGTAAAGCAGTCTAGCCTGAACAAACTGGCATAATATCTTCATATAACCTAAGTACATCCTCCCATAAACTTTAAGACATCTCTAGGTTACTTATAATACCGAATACAATGCACATGCTATATAAATGGTCATTATACTGTATTTAGGGAATAATGACAGGAAAAAAGGTCTGTACATGTTCAGTATAGACACAGCCACCTTTATTTCCCCTTGAGTATTTTTGATCCACAATTGGTTGAATTTACAAATGCCCATGGACTGTAATAAGCTCCTAATAAAGTTGTGCATCATTTATGAATAACTTGTAGTCCAACTAGTCACTTCATGCCAAAAGAAACCAAAAAGTCTTCACTGAAAAGTGGGCTTAAGGTTTAAGTGCATGCAGCTGATAGAAAATTGGGAACAAATAAGACTAGATCTTTTAGTGTTTTTTTCTTGTTTCCAAGTTATTGAGAACTTTGGGAAAGTAAAGAAAGGACGAACTCAAAGAACACTCAAGAATCATTGCTTCCCATTGCCCTTAGCTGTGAGTTTGGCACAATGTTGGAAACCCTTGTGCTTTCTTCATGGACAGGTAAGTGCCTTGGCCTGTAATACCTATCTGGTGGACATGAGAGCACCACCGGAAAGATGCAAAATACGGGTTATCCCGATTGAATCTGAAACATGAGACAACAGATGCCAGCCAGATAGACACACACCCACACACCAGTTCTTTCAGGTTCATCTTGCAAAAAACTCAAGCCCCATTCAGCAGCCATAGGAAAGGAAACAATCATTTCAAGTTACAAAGTAATCTTGTAAACAGAACTTGGAACCAAAAAGCCCAGTGAATAATTGATGAACAGTTGCTGATGCATGTTGGGCATCTTTGTAGTATTGATTTTTGGCTATGAAGAAAGCAGGACTCTGAAAGCTCACACTTTCGTCTCTCTCCTATTCAGTGCTCTCAGTCTTCATAGTCCACTTACATGTTAGGAATGTAACATGATGCACATTTTATGTTCTTCATTTGGGCCCTTGCTCTCTGTGGATGAGGTTTCTGACTCATCCCTTAATTATCAGCTTTGATTCTCTTAATGAGAAGTTATCAAAATAGTTCAGGACACTGAATTATTAGTTGAATAACTAATTAATGATCAAGAGATGGAAGTAAGCAAATAAACTTTAGTCTTCTACTTCCAAGTCTGAAATACTATTCTCAGCAGTTCAGTTGGGTCTCTGAACTTCTCTGCCTTCTCTTTGAATTTCAGCTTCACCATTGCTTTGTTACATATATTAAGTTCAGTGCTCAGTGTTGTATAGGCCATTCACAGATAACACGGAAAATAAAATCATGCCCTTGCTATTTTACCATTGCAATAACTGAAAAGAAAACAAAAAATAATCCATAGTTTCTCACACACAAGTCAATAGAGTTGGAATGTTTAGCTCAGCTCAGTGGGGGCATGGGTTGAAATAGGAATCAGGACAATACTTCGGAATATTTAAATATTTATGAGTGCTATATATCTGATAGAAGACTGAAACTGATTCGGAATACTACAGTGAAGAAACTAAGGTGAAATTACTAGGTTTCAGCTTGACAAAGTTAGTGACAAACTCTTGAAACTGTCAAAGTCAGTTGATGCTGCCATATGCTTTTTCAATCACTGTCTTTCCTGATTCACTACTAGAGCGCAGACAAGGAGTGGGGACTGGGGAAGGAATCTTTGAAAGATGCTGTGTCTCATTCCCAAGGGAAAGGGATTTTGCCTGCAGAAAATCAGTGCAGATGGCTCTGATTTGGCATGAACACATTTGGCCTAGGTCAGAGTGAGCCAAGTAGTGAGGGATTTGCATGGGTTTTTGGAGGGCTTTTACTTACAAAAAACATTAGGAAAAAGAGTAATCTTAAAGACTTTTCTTATTTGTTACTCCATTCCTCTTCTTTAAAACGAGCTATGTTGGTTTTTCTCTTCCCTCCTGACATCTCAAATGCAAAAAGGGGACAGAAGAGAGTAGGGAACTATTTGGGTTCAGAATAGGGCTTGGAAGGAAGATCTGCCCAATAGGCAAATATTTGTAAAAACTGATCTGACTACATAAAAAAACAAAACTTTGCACATGGCACAACCACATAAACCAAACTAAACTCAAACTGGAAAAAGTATGTATAGCTCACATGGCAGACAAAATACTGATATATACAAAACTTTTACAAACCAGTAAGAAAAAGATGAACATCTCAATAGAAAAGTGAACTGAAGAGGGGCCAATATGGCCAATTAGAAGCAACTGCAATCCACAGCACTCACAAAATGCTGAGTGAATTCTGCACCTGAGGTATCTAGGTTCTCACATTGGGACTGGCTAGGAGGATGACTAAACCCACGGAGAGTGAGGAAAAGCAGGGTGAGGTAATGGTCCACCCATGAGTGGCACAGAGCCAGGGGAACTACCACCCCCAGTTAAAGGAAGTGGTTAGTAAGTGTGTGACTCTTTCTGGGAAACCATGCTTTTCCCATGGATCTTTGCAACCAGTAGATCAGGAGATCCTTTCACGAGCCCACATCACCAGGACCTTGGGTCCAAAGCACAGAGTTATGCAGAGTCTTGGTGGAGTGGCTACCCACCTGCTTACTGGGGCATTTAGGGAAACCTGGGAGTTTTCCATACTCCAGTTCCAGTAATTCCAGCAAGGCAGGAGATCCTGTGCATTCCCTAGGAAAGGGGCTGAATCCAGGGAGCCAAGTAGCCTCATTCTGTGGGCCCCACAACCATGGTACCTCACAAGTTAAGACCCAGTGGACTGGAATTCCAGCCAGCCAGCAGCAGCAGGCTGGAAATGGCCTGAGATGAACTGAGTTCCCAGGGGGAGGGGCAGCTGCCATATCTGCTGTTCCAGTTGGCTGCTGTAGCCTGCCAGTGCTGGGAACCAGGAGGAATTCCCCACAACACAGCACAGCTACTGTGCCTAATTGTGGCAGTCTGCTTCTTTAAGTGGGACACCAATCCATCCCTCCTCACTGGGAGGTGCTACCCTGTGGGAATTTCAGCAACTGCAGCCAGGTTTCTAGGGACAAAACTCTGATCTTTCCCTGGTGCTACCCCTCCCAGGAGAGAGGGGCCCCTACTGTCTCTGCAGTTAGCAGACTTAATCTTTCCAGGCTCCTGTCTCTGGAGAGGCCAGATGGTCAGTGCAATGCACTTGCTCTGCCAAGGAGCAGTCAGTCTGCTTCTTTAAGTGAGTCTCTTATCCCAGTTCTTCTATCTGCAGGGGACATCCCAACAGGGGTCTCCAGCACCTCCTACAAGAATGTTCTGGCTGGCATCAGGTCAGTGCCCCCCTGGGAGGAGGCTCCCAGAGGAAGGAACAGGTTGACATCTTTGCTGTTTCACAGCCTTCACTGGTGATACCTCCAGGTATGGGAGGGACCAGGGTAACTATGATCTGGAGTGAACCCTCAGCAAACTGCAGCAGCCCAACAGAAGAGTGGTCTTACTGTTAAAACAACAAAACAGAAAGCAACAACCACATTAACAAAAAGACTCCACAAAACCCTGTTCAAAATTCAGCAACCTCAAAGATCGAAGGTCAATTACCTCACAAAGATGAGAAAGAATGCAAAAATTGTGAAAACTGAAAAAGACAGAGTGCCTCTTTTCCTCCAAATGATCACGACACCTCTCCATCAAGGGCACAGAACTGGGCTGAGGCTGCTGAAATGGATGAATTGACAGAAGTAGGCTTAAGGAGGTAGGTAATAATGAAATTCACTGAGCTAAAGGAGCATGTTGTAATCCAATGCAAAAAAGCTAAGAATCATCATAAAACATACAGGAGCTGATAACCAGAATAGCCAGTTTAGAGAGAAGCATAAAAGACCTGATGGAGCTGAAAAACACAACACAAGAACTTCACAATGCAACTACAACTCTCAATAGCTGAATACAACAGGTGGAGGAAAGAATCTCATAGCTTGAAGACTACCTTTCTGAAATAAGACAGGCAGACAAGAATAGAGAAAAAAGAATGAAAAGGAATGAATAAAACTGCTATGAAAATATGAGAGTATGTAAAAAGACTGAACCTATGACTGGGGTACATGAAAAGAGATGGGGAGAATGGGACCAAGTTGGAAAACATACTTCAGGATATGATCTAAAACTTCCCAACCTAGCAAGAGAGGACAACATTCAAATTCAGGAAATTCAGAGAACCCCAGTAAGATACTCAATGAGATCAACCCCAAGACAGATAATCATCAGATTCTCCAAGGTCAAAATGAAGGAAATAAATGTTAAGGGAAGCCAGAGAGAAAGGTTAGGATTAACTACAAAGGGAAACCCATCAGACTAACAGTGGGCATCCTGGCAGAAACCCTGCAAGTTAGAAGAGATTGTGGGCTAATCTTCAACCTTCTTAAAGAAAAGGATTTCCAACCCAGAATTTCATATCGAGCCTTCATAAGTGAAGAAGAAATAAGATTCTTTTCAGACAAGCAAATGCTAAGGGAATACGTTACCAGCAGGCCTGCCTTGCAAGAGCTCCTGAAGGAAGTGCTAAATATTGAAATAAAAATCCATTACCATCCACTTAAAAAGCATACTAAAGTACACAGAGCAGTGACACTATGAAGCAACCACATAAACAAGTCTGCAAATTAACCAGCTAGCATCATGGTGACAGGATCAAAGTCACACATAACAATATGGACCTTAAATATAAATAAGCTAAATGATCCAAGTAAAAGACACAGAATGGGAAGCTGGATAAAGAGTCAAGTTCCATCGGTATGCTGTCTTCAAGAGACTCATCTTAGGTGCAGACACACATAGGCCCCAAATAAAGGAATGGAGGAAAATTCACCAATGGTAAACAGAAAAATGCAGGAGTTAAAATTCTAGTTTCTAGTAAAACAGACTTTAAACTGACAAAGATAAAAAAAGACAAGGAGGGCATTATTATAATGGTACAGGGTTTAATTCAACAAGAAAAATGAACTATCCTAAATATATATGCACCCAATACAGGAGGACCCAGATTCATAAAACAATTTTTAGAGATCTTTAAAGAGACTTAGACCCCCATACGATAGTAGTGGGAGATTTTGACACCCACTGACAATGTTAGACCAAGAAAAGAAAATTAACAGATATTCAGGACCTGAACTCAGCTTTGGATCAAGCAGACCTGATAAGAACTCTCCACCCCCAGACACTCTTCTCATTACTCTAAAATGGATCACATAATCAGAACTAAAACACTCCTCCGCAAATGCAAAAGAACAGAAATCATAACAAACAGTCTCTCAGACC